GTGTGTCTCTCTCTCTCTCTCTCTCTCTCTCTCTCTCTCTCTCTCACACACACACACACACACACACACACACACACACACACACACACACACACACACACCATAGTCTATTTTCTACTGTTCCCAGTGGCTGTTTGTTTTTCTTTCTTAAAGAACTGTTTTTAATAAGAAAGGTTAGCTAGCTTCACCTTCTTAAGTAGGATTGTCTTGGAGAGGGACCCCTGACATCTAGAAGGCCTGTCCACAGCAAGCTTCTGAAAAAAAAAGTGGTCTCAGCTGGTTCTTTATCCTTTAAGGTTTTTATTCAACATTATGCAACCCTATCACCCTGGAAACTACTGATTTTGTCGACTGCTGACTGATCCGGTGGCATCTATCTATAGACTGCTCAGTGGCCAATGATGTGACCAGACGAAAGGGTTCTGACTGAATGGCAACTGGCCGAACCAACCAAGAGCACCAGCCGGTTACAGGCGGTGAAGCAGAAGCAGAGACCGGGTCGTCGAGTCACCCAGTGTTCCAGTTTGTCCAGGACGGTCCCAGGTTCAGCACCGGAATCCCCTCGGTCCTAGGCAAACTGGGACAGCCAGTCGCCTTCAGCTCATCGCCACAGTAGAATTCTGGAATCGGGAGCAGTGGATCCTGCTGCTAAGCAAAAGATCGAGATGACCTCAGTGTGACAGACCTACTCTCCGCGGAAACCATCGATCGCAACTGGGTATCTCGATGGACTTGGGCTGCATGTAAAGGCCTAGCTGGACAGCTGCTGGGTAGAGCGTGTCCGGTCTGCTTTAGTTCCATGGAGGTCGGACTAACCCAGCATCTACGGAGGAAACGTAAGGGGGGTCTCCGTTCCTCGAAACCCAAAGGAATCTAATACGACGAGTCTGTCTGCACGTCAAGGCAGGACGGTGAAAGCCCACAAACAACCTCACAACCCAGTAGCACGAAACCGCCAGAGGCTCCCCTCACTCGCTTCGTGGCGAATCTGAGATGCCGAGGACCCCACTGCTCCACCGAGAAGCCACCAAAGTCACTCACCGGTCACACAAACACCATCTACAACGCAGGGAAAAAATTATATATATATATATATATATAGAAATTTAATTCTTTTTACAAAGGCAAGTCATCCATTCGCTCTGGAAATTGAAAACACAAACATTTTTTGGCTCCGCCTTTGGGCTGGATCGTGATCATTATCTGGGACAGGTTTCCAGCCAGGTGTGTGGCAGCTACAGGGTGAATGAAACAAACAGGACTTGTGTCTCGAGGGGCCCGATCTGTTGTCAGGGGTGTGTGTGAGTGATCAGCACACACTGGAGGATGGGGGTCCTCAATAAAGGCCGCCAACTCTGGTAGTTGGAGAGTTGACAAGGAAGCCCCGAGTTCTGGGGTGGACCCCAAGTCCTCCTGAGAGGAGCCGGTCTCCACGGCTGACCATGCATCTGTGTCAGCAGCGGACAGCTGGAATGACAAACGGTGTTCGTCTTCTGCCCCTCCAGACGTACACCCGTGTGTGATCCCAAATGAGACGGTGGGGCGTGAGGACACCAGCCTTCACGATCCAGCTCCCCTGCTGAAGTCCCGCCAATGTCTCTGATGGCCTGAAGAACTTCTGCACCGATGTGCATCGATCTGGAACCTGGAACCTGTGTGGCCAGACCCCACGTAAATGAGAAGGACTGCTCCTCCCAAGCCGCTTGCATAGCAACACACACACACACACACACACACACACACACACACACACACACACACACTTCTTTAGAAGGAGCAGGAATAGAAATCAAGAGCCCATTTGGCCTAAGTGTAGTTAACTATTCACTCTGTATCCGGCCGGAAGATAATGGAGCAAACAAGGGCTGCTGGGTCCAAAGGCGGAGCGGACGTGGAGGTGGGGGACGCGGAAAGGGTGTGGGAGAAAGCCCCTGGCTTCCGGGGCTTGGGGGGAGAGGGGAGTCTTCAGAGCGGGCAGCCTCAGAGGAAACATTTTCCACCACAAGGGAAAACAAGGACTGAGGTACAGACGTCTTCTCCGACTGCAGGTCACTCCAGTGATGCATCTCCCAGCCCACGCAGGTTGAGACGTAGACCATCCCTCGGTGCGAAGGCCTTTGCTTTCTAAACGTCTTCTCAAATCCAGAACCTTCTTTATTCTCCAAATAAGAGTTCTTGATCAAATCCAGAGCTTTTGCCTCTTAAGAGATGGTCCCGTCTTAGCCAGGTGCTTCAGGTGGGGGCCCTGGGGGAATATATTGGCTCCCCAAAGTGTCCTGGTGGAGGGTGTGAGTGAGAAAGGGAACTTTGCTACGTTCTCCTCTCTAGGCCTGTGGATCAAAAAACAATAAAAGAGTGAGATTCTGGCTTCTGCTCATCCAATAGGTGTCTTTCAACAATGACCATCACTTTATCATCTTTGGTCCATAATGTTCTAGCTACTGAAAAGAACACACACTCCTCTAAAAGCAGGATTTTAGTTAAGGACCAAAAAAAATACCAAAACGCCTATTTGTACATCTCAAGACTCCCTGCAAACCGAATCATCGCCAAGAGCCCTTCGCACAAATCTCACCCACAGCTAATTTTTCCAAAATATCACTGAAGAGAGCCAGCCCAGAGGAAATGAAAATTTCTGTTTTTCAGCATGTCACTGTTACGTCTGTGAGATGTGGGGCAGGGGGCACGGAGGTGTCAGACCACCCACTTCACAGAGGGAAAAACTGAGGCACCGCGGCGCCAATGTTCTCAGTCTGGGATGACCAGGGTCTGGCCCGAGGCGCCAATGCTCTCAGTCTGGGGTGACCAGGGTCTGGCCCCGAGTCCTGACGCCTGCTTCGGGTGGCTCTTCTCTCTGCTGTCATGGGCCCCTTAGCAATGAACTCGAAACTTACCCAGAGTGGATGGGGCCCCTCAGAGGAACCGGACCCCACGGTTTCACGCATTTCTCCTTCCCTAACGCTGATGACAAATAGATGAAGACGGACCTGGACGCGTCCTTCTACCTCACGTCCCACCATCCTGGCATAACCCCCATTTCTGAGTGACAAATGTCTTTAGGCCACCAAATGCCCTCAGAGGGATGCCCTCATTTTAAAATTGATGAGGCCCAGCAAGGGGCCTCGGCACAGGTCGACTTAATCCAGGCTTCATGAGCGAGGTCGCTTTCTGGGTCTCTGATTCCAGTGATGACAATCAACCCACGAGGTATGACGTGGACGGCTGCAAACCTGCACGATCACCAGTACCCTACAGGGTTAGACGCCGCGGATACAGATGTAAACCAGACGGGCAAGCCCGGCCCCCGGGCCTTCACAAGCGGGTAGTGCTGACCAAGCAGGATGCCAGAAGGACAGCGCTATCGGAGGGAAATACACTGAGGGTTTTGGGGGGCCAACGAGACCTGTGAGGGACGTGGCCCAGCCTGGTGCGAGGCTGCTCTTTTCCCTGTGGGCTTTGGCTAACTCCTGGCTGGGATGTGTGCGGCTGCCATGACACCCAGACGGGAGGGTGCTACTTGTCAGAGATGCGAGGGTGTCACAACAAGGCCCCGGGGGAGACTGAGTGGGGAGATGGCTCTAGACAGTCAGTCCTCTCTGCAGGGAGCGAGTCTGCATGTTAGCGTCGCCCACCCCCAAAACCAGCCAGCGTGCCTCCGCAGAGGCGCTTTGGCACCCCAGGTGGCTCTCGGCTTGGTGGTCAAGAGGGAAATCATAAGTCTTCGCCTGGGTCTTGCCCAGGACGTGCCTGGGCCCGCCGGACACTCTTTCTCATTTGGACCCGAAAACACCCCGAACGCCCCAAAGTTCTGCTAAACTTTCTCTGGCTTCTCATCCCCTCCTGAACGGCAGCCCTCTGCGCTGGCTCAGACAGGGCCCGGAGAAGCCTTTCCCCAGGGGACGCACACAGCTAGCAAATTAATTGGCAGCTCCCACCCCCACCCCCTGGGTGAATCACACAAGGACTTCCTTCTTGTTGCCCAGCAACCGCATGCACTTGGCAGTGGGACATTAAACACACAGGGGAATGTTGGGAGGCAATTGCAAAATAAAATAAAAAGCAAAACATACAACACCCCAGACTCATCCCAGCATGGCCGACCCAGCCAAGGGGGGCGGGGGTGAAGACAAGGGCCTCGGCCCAGCGAAGGAAAATGAGGTTAGGACAGAACCGGCCTGAGCAGAGCCCAACACTCCCTCCCTCCCCCCTTCAAATTCTTCTAGGTGTAGCATTTGTATTTGGCCAAAGGCGCGCCTCTATTAGCCTAGGGAAAGGCAATAGGGGGCACGAGGATTAGCCGGCACCTAGAGATTTGAAAGATTATCTAGAAACACGCAGCCCAGAAGGTTTATGCGCTTTGCTGCAGCGACTAAAGTATCTGCTGTTTATGCTTCTCCATCGCAGACCAATCCCCAGGTCAAGTCACTCGGCCACCGCTGGGGCAGGATCCCCTTCCCCCAATGCTTTTCCCCTCGAATGTTTTTCGTGCCTGTTGCTATGACCACCGCGAGCTGATTAGACAAGTCTCCCAACACATGCCTTGCCCTTCAGACCCTGCCTCTAGCCTCTTTGAAAACTCCCGGGACAGAAGTGAGATGCGCGTTATGTTCTATGTTTGGAAGGAAAGCTGGGGACAACAGTAGCGAGGGGCTCCCTGTGGTAGGCTGAATATTAGCCCCCAAAGATAGCCACCTCCTCATCCCTGCTACCTGGAATGGTACCTGGAATGTGAATACATGAAGGCTCTTGAGATGCAGAGATGACCCTGTTTTTTCTGGGTGGGTCTCAAATGTAATCCCGAGAGTGCTTATAAGAGGGAGATCTGACCCAGGAGAGGTAGCAAGAGACGTGATCACGGAAGTGAGATACTGGAGTAGTTCAAGGAAGGGGTCTGGAGGCCAGGAGAGCAGGTGGCTTCCGGAAGCTGAGAAAGGCCAGCAAGTGGATTCTTCCCTAGAGCTTCCACCGGGAACCGGCTTTGCAGATACCTTGGCTTTAACCCAGTGACACTGGCCTCCAGAATGAGAAGGGAATAAATGTGTGCTGCTTTCAGCCATTTAAATCTGTGGTAACTTTACAGCAGCACCAGGAAACTAATCCTAGTCATTCAGGGCACACCCCGTCTCAAGGTAATGTGTCAACACGGGTACAGGTAGCAATGGAAGGGAGCTGATCAGAAGGGGCGGGCTTAGAAAGGTCTGACACATAACCTACGGGCTCAGAAGGAAAAGTCAGCTCTCTGAGAGCAACTGAGGCGAGAAGCAGCCCAGGCTTTGCAACGGCTCTCAAATTAACACCATTGGTGACTGTAACTTGGCCCGGTGGCTTAATCTTTGAGAGCCTTCCGTTCTTCATTGGCAAAATAGAGATAATATTATTACCTGTCTTGCAAAGCGTTTAGGATTAAATGAGATGCCACATGAAAAAAAAAAGCACATGGCACATGGCAGATGCCAAATAAATGACAAATCTTGGGAGGATTAAGGCATGTGCCTATGCGCAGAAGCTGTGAGTTACCTATTCCTTTTGTTCTCCCCTCTCCCTTATATTTTAGAAATATAACTCTGATTTTTGGCTGGCACATTGTGGCCCAGAATAAAAAGACTACGTTTCCCAGCCTCCCTTGCAGCTAGCTATGGCCACAGGGCTAAGATCTGGCAGAAGAGATGTAGGCAAAGAGAAGAAGCCTCCTTCTGGGGAGGCTGTTCAAAAGGTGCTGAAAGAAGCCCGATTGTTACCTGTCTGTCTTTACTACCTTCTGCTTTCAATAAGGACGTGATAGCTGGTGCTCCAGCAGCTACTTTGGACTATGAGGGAGCCATGTACTAAGATGCTCTAACGAGAAGATAGAAGCCTGGGTCCTTATTAACTCCAGAACTGCCACATGAGCCTTGGATGGCCCTTCTCTGGATTTCTGTTATGTGAGAGAGAATACTTTTGTGTCTTAGTCATTAAGTCACTGTTGGTTTAGTGTTTTCTAATAACCATAATAGATACGAGGTCTCACAGATCTAGGAAAACAGGACTCCGAATAAATCTAGAGTAGCCCTAGACTGACAGCTTTAGGAGCTGGGAACTTCTTAGAAAGGCGAATTCTCGGGCCCCACCCCAGTCTCACTGAATCAAACCCCGGGAGTGGGGTCCAGCAATCTGTGTTTTCACAAGTCTTCCAGGGGATCCTGGTACACACTCCCAGTGTGAGAACCACCATGCTAGAGCAAGCTTTCTCCACTCTTGCCTGGTGACATTTGAGGTTGGATCATTTTTTTTTTTGCAGGGTGCGGGGCGGGGGGTTTGCTATCTTATGCATTGTGAGACATTTAGCAGCTTCCCTGACCTCTACCCACTAGATGCCAGTAGTACCCCGCCCCACAGTGTGACCATGAAGGAGGTCTCAGACATTGGCATATGTCTACGGTGGGGGTAGGAGGACGCCAAGATCGCGCCCGGTTAAGAAACACTGTCTCCGATGAGTGGTTTGTTCTTGACCTTGGCGGCATATAACGATCACTTGGGAAGCTTTACGAAATTCCAAAACGCAGGCCTCACCCCAACCTGGTTAACTCAGAATCTACTACGGCAGCACAAGGCAGCAGTTAAAACCTTCCCGATGATTCCCAATGTGCACACCGCAGAGGGCCAGCTCTGAGCCGGGAAGGTGGTAACACACCTGAATCTTGACTCTGGGAAAGATACAAGATGCTCCCAAGCAGAAACTATAACGAGCATGACTCGGGCAGGCTTGGGAATGAACGCCGAGCTGCTGGATGGGGTGACTAGATGGGCCGGAATTCCTGGTGGCTGTGTCACCTTATTTCCCGTCGGAACAGGGTGGACACCTTTCAGTGTCTCCCATGAATAACCACACAAAGCCTCAGTTTCCTCCCCTAATAAACAGAGCTCACAAGGAGCCAGCTCCCACGAGGTGCTATAAACATTAGCTCATTCAACAAAAAGAACTGTCTTAATAAAGTCAGCGATACGGCAGTGGGCCCTATTTAGAAAAGGGAGCATACATTCTCCTTCCAACCGGTAAACTCCCCAAGGCATTGAAACCAAAATCCTCCCACAAGGATGGACTCTGCGTGAGGAGATATTTCCCATATGTTTAATGTAGCCTGAAAATTAGCTTGGCTAAGGGGTCCATAACTGGGCTGAAGCAGAAAGGAAAGAAAGAATTAAATGAGGAACCAGCAACCCTGGAGAAAATGGGAGAGAGCTGAACAGGTTGATGCTCTGGCTCCTGGAAAAGAAAGACAAAGCCGTGTGTAAATTCTCTCTCCTGCTGGAAGCGTCTCTTCCCTTCATTATTTCGTTCCCAGCCTGCCCT